CTGAGAGACATCAGAGTCTGTGTGAACAGTTTAGTGAAAACAAAAAAATGATACAACAAAAGAACCTATAGAAAAGCTAAGCTTTGCCATTTTCCTTAGGCACTTAATGAGACCTAACATTTACAAGAGCATCGAACAAGCTTTCCTATTACTCGTTCAGTTTCTTTTCCAACAAGTCATGATCACAAGTGGGTATCTGTTTTCTCAGTAGTTTTTAAAGGCAATTGGGTAAGCTGTTCTATACTTAATGTTTATTTCAAAGTGAATCGATTAATTAATCTAATTAAACTAATAGATGTATTTTTTTTCATTCCTTTGTTACTCTTTCCTTAGTATACCTGGTCAGAAGTATCACAAGCATGTGATGTATGTCTGCAGTCTACTATGATATTTTTACCTAGCAGAAATAGTTTTCTTTAAAACTCCAGCTTGTTTAATTCTCCTAAAATGTCTTTTTACATCTGTTGTAGGTGTCTGATTGAGACATGCTGAATAGGCCAGATTTTTAGAGGCAGAAGTGTATGATCCTAAGGAAAAAAAAGGAAGGCCCCTCTGAGAAGCCTTTGTTTTGGAAGCAAAATTCACTATGTTTTCCATAGGAGACAGCTTGGGCTTATGTTGACAGAGCACAGAACCTGCCACAGTTCATTAGGTTAGGGAGAACTGTACAAGAAACTCCAAAGTTAACGGAAATGTACTTTATTTCCTCCTAACTTGTGCTATCAGATGTAAAATTCCTTATAACAGGAAAGAATTTCTTTTTACATAGGTCACTGTACTAGGGCTCAGTTCTGTAAAACTTTCAGTGCTGCCTCAGCATCATTGAGGGCTCAGAGGAACAGAGATTTCTGTGTTTGGGCATAGGCTTTCACTAATGGATTCTGTAGCAGAGAGCCTGAGATGGTATAGTGTCCAGGAGAGCAAAACCAGCCATTTTGAGCACTAACTAGCTAATGTCCTTGAAGAAGAAAGAGAATTTTTACAAGAACTAGTCCAGGTCCCTACATTACTTAACCCAGCTTGTGATTTCTCCGTTAATAGAAATGTCAAACAAGTTTGAGATGTTCCCTTAGGCGGTTTTTAACATCAGCTTTCTGGCAGCAGCCCAGACTAGATTGTAAGGTATCGTGTAATGCTAGGTGATGGACCAAATTTTATCCCGAGGTAGACAAGGATGTTGTGGAAAGGAATGGTAATGTTTATCCTTGAATAAACATGCTTCTTAATTTGCTCCTTAATGTGTCAAAAAGGACATATTTGGGACAATATAGGACACAGCATAGAAACAGTAGCACAATCATAGAAAGTTTAAAATAACCTAGCAGGAGAAAGTGTCATTGTATCATTGTTCTGTTTGAGATATGGTACTTGTATTCACTTTTCCACTATAAATACTTTTATCATGGTAACTTTAGATATAGAATTCAATTAATGTGCTTCATGTAACGTTTTTGCATCTATAGATATAGCTTAAGGGCATGGGTATTCAAAACATTCGAATTAAAGAGTTTACTTGGCAATGACATCAGAGAATTAGGATGGTTCCAGTGTCCTCTGTCCTCTGTATCTCTGTCTAGTCTATGTCTGTGCCGCAAGCTGTCTGAGCACCTGATTTTCTCAGCTGAAAAAATAAAACAAAATTAACATCAAAGAACCTTCACATCACTGTACAGAGAGCTTAGCCCAGTAGCCTGCCTGTCACAGTGACTGTGGCACTACAGCAGTAATGCTTACAGAAAGCACAGGAGAGGATGTGAACAGTGATCTATTCTGCCCTGCTTTCCTGAGTCGGAGGTTGAATAAAGACCACTTTTTAAAAAAAAAAAAAGATTATTTTTTGCCAGTGGACTCGACTTCCCTAAATTTCTCCAACTTTTTGACTTTACTACTTATGGTCTACACAGAAGCCTGTGACAATATAATTATGCACTATGTGAAGAAATACCTGCTCTCTCCTCCTAATTTGACACCTAATAATTTCAGTGGGTGCCCTGTAGGTTTTGTGTGGTGTGAACACAGTGAATAGTCATTACCTCGTCACCTCTTCTGCACTATTCATTGTTTGTAGCCTTCCTCGTTTGTCTTTTTCCTATCTGGAGGCTCCTTATCCATTTGCTTTTCTCTTGTATAGAAACTGTTTCCTGCTTTGGACCATCTTCATCTGCTGTCATCTCTGCTGTTCAACTTTTACTGCCCCTGAGGTGAAAGGACCAGACTGCATACAAAGGCTTATCCAGTGCAGGCAGGTTTTTGTCAAAATAAACCATGAGAATAGACTATAACCTTGTTTTGATTTGTTTCTGAACAGGTCTGATAAAATCAAGTCACACAGTAAGAGAAGTGGTAGTGATGTCCTTTATGTATAGAATCATAGAATCATAGAATCAGCTGAGATCATCAAGTCCAACCCTTGATCCACTACCACCATGGTTACTAGACCATGGCACTGAGCGCCACATCCAGTCTCATCTTAAAAACCTCCAGGGACGGAGAATCCACCACTTCCCTGGGCAGCCCATTCCAAAGCCTGATTACCCTCTCTGTAAAGAATTTCTTCCTAATATCTGACCTAAACCTCTCCTGGCACAGCTCAAGACCATGCCCTCTTGTCCTACTGCTGGTTGCCTGGGGGAAGACACCAACCCCCACTTGGCTACAACCTCCTTTCAGGTAATTGTAGAGAGTGATGAGGTCTCCCCTGAGCTTCTTCTTCTCCAGGCTAAACAACCCCAGCTCCCTCAGCTTCTCTTCATAGGACTTGTGCTCCAGTTCCTTCACCAGCCTCATTGCTCTTCTCTGGACCTGCTCCAGCACCTCAATATCCTTCCTAAACTGAGGGGCCCAGAACTGGACACAGCACTCGAGGTGTGGCCTCACCAGCACTGAGTACCGGGGAAGAATCACTTCCCTGGACCTGTTGGCCACACTGTTCCTGATACAGACCAGGATGCCATTGGCCTTCTTGGCCACCTGGGCACACTGCTGGCTCATGTTCAGCTTCCTGTCAATCCAAACTCCCAGGTCTCTCTCTGCCTGGCTGCTCTCCAGCCACTCTGTCCCCAGCCTGTAGCGCTACATGGGGTTGTTGTGGCCAAAGTGCAGGACCCAGCACCTGGCCTTGTTGAACCTCATCTCGTTGGAATCAGCCCAACTCTCCAGCCTGTCCAGGTCCCTCTGCAGAGCCCTCCTGCCTTCCAGCTGATCGACACTCCTCCCCCAGCTTGGTGTCATCTGCAAATTTGCTGATGGTACGCTCGATCTCCTCATCTAAATCATCGATAAAGATATTAAACAGAACTGGACCCAACACTGATCCCTGGGGGACACCACTAGTGACCGGCTCCCAAATGGGTGCAGCACCATTCGCCATCACTCTCTGGGCCCGGCCCTCCAGCCAGTTGCTAACCCAGCAGAGAGTGCCCCTGTCCAAGGCATGGGCTGCCAGCTTTTCCAAAAGTATGCTGTGGGACACAGTGTCAAAGGCTTTGCTACAGTCCAGATAGACACATCCATAGCCTTCCCCTCATCCACCAGGTGCATCACCTGTCATAAAAGGAGATCATGTTGGTCAGACAGGATCTGTCCTTCCTAAACCTGTGCTGGCTGGGTTTGATCCCTTGTCTATCCTGTAGGTGCTGTGTGATTGCACGGAGGATGATCTGCTCCATAACCTTGCCAGGCACTGAGGTCAGGCTGACGGGCCTGTAGTTCCCTGGGTCCTCCTTCTGGCTCTTTTTGTGGATGGGTGTGACATTCGCCAACTTCCAATCATCTGGGACCTCCCCAGTGAGCCAGGACTGTTGGTGAATGATGGAGAGTGGCTTGGTGAGCTCTTCTGCCAGCTCCCTCATCACCCTTGGGTGGATCCCATCTGGTCCCATAGACTTGTGAGGATCCAAGTGGCCCAGCAGGCTGCTGTTTCCTCCTGGGTTACTGGGGGGCCATTCAGGTTCTTATCTCTTTCTACAAGCTCCAGAAGCCAGCTGTCCTCAGGACAACCTGTCTTACTGTTGAAAACTGAGACAAAGAAGGTATTAAATACCTCAGCCTTTTCCTCATCTTTGATAACTATATTCCCACCCATGTCCAATAAAGAATGGAGGTTCTCCTTGCCTCTTCTTTTGCTGTTGATGTATCTGTAGAAGGACTTTTTGTTGTTCTTCACAGAAGTGGTGAGATTAAGTTCAAGTTGTGCCTTCATCTCTCTAATTTTCTTTCTACATGATTAAACTATATTCCTAAACTCTTCCTGAGCAGCCAGCCCTTTTTTCCATGATTGGTAGGTTCTCTTTTTCACCCTAATTTCCTTCAAAATCTCCTTGTTCAGCCAGACCGGTCGTCTTCCCTGCTGGCTTGCCTTTTGGCATCAGTTGTCATGAAAGGAAAGAAATCTGAGTTCAGATCCTTTTTTCCCACCTTTGAGAAGGGAACTGAACTAGTGCCTGAGCTACAGGCTTATCAGGACAAAATCTCTCTTGTTTTAGCTGCTCTAGTTTTCCTCAGAGCTGTTTCAAAGCCACTGGAGTAGGGACTGAATCCCAACCGTTTTTCTTCCAAGGCATGTGCACTTGGTTAGGGAAATGGTTCCTTGCTCATGCTCTTGTCTGCACATCTTTGCTATGAATGCCCTTAATAGCTATCGGTTTACTTCCTTGAGTAAGTTGGGCTGATGTCCTCCAGGGCACAAGAGTTCAGAATCCTGATGACTCAGGGCTGTTTTATCAAACAAACAACTGCAGTTGCTGAGAGTGCAGTTGATAATTACTGAGCTGGTATTACACTTACCTAAGCAGTGCTAGAAGTGGCTGTTCAGGAACAGCATAGATTTATGGTAAAACAGTCATGGTCCTGGCCTTGCTTTGACTATTCAGAAAAATTTATTTGGAAGCTGAGAAGCACGCATGGCCAGAGCTCAGCCCATCTGCCCACTCACTCCTACTAGCAAAGGTGCTCTCACTGATCAAAGAAAGTACAGGTATTTCTTAAACAACACTTGGGCAGCAGTGAGCCTGTCAGCTTCAAACTTTCTCTTCAGCTTTAAAATAAAAGATACAATTTCTTCTGAGTGTATAGTCCAGCAACTTCTGGCCCAAGAAAGATACGGCTTCTGTGGTATATCTGGTCTCAGTGCCGAGCACTCCCCATCCTTCTCCCTGATGGCTCCCTCCCTCCAGGATTTTGGAAACACAGCCACAGAGGTCCCTTGAAAGAAAGAAGGATAAACACCTTTTAACCTATTGCTAAGACATAAAAAAATAGAAAAAAAGGCATGTTGCCTATTTGGACTGTACAAGCCTCACGTACATGTGCACTTAGAGATAGCATTGTTGGCTTCCATTAGTCTTAATTAGACGCAGATTGATGGGTAGCTCTCACTCTGCTCTGCACTGGTGCAGCCTCACCTTGAATATTGTGTGCAGCTTTGATCACTGCAAAATAAGAAAGATATTAGGCTATTATAGAGTGTCCAAAGGAGGGCAATGAAGATGGTGAAGGACCTTGAGGGGAAGCCATTTGAGGAGCAGCTGAGTTCAAGAAGCATTTGGATGATACTCTCAGGCACATGTTGTGACTCTTGGGAATGGTCCTGTGCAGGGCTAAGGGTTGGACTCAATGATCCTTGTGGGTCCCTTCCAATTCAGCATAGTCTGTGATTTTGTGATTCTATGGTCAATACCTCTTCCCTATGGCTCTTCTTGGCCTGGAAGTATTCAGCAGCAACACTCAGTTCTGCTTTTTGGCCTCTTTTAGATCTGGAGGTTTTCACAAAATGCACACGCAGTTCACCTGATTAACAAGGAGCTGTTTCTGTACTGGCATGCCTGGATGATCTCTGATCACTCTAGCCAGCATGGGAGGTGTTAGGTCTTTCAGGTTCAGTTTTATGTGTCCTCACAACAGTCTTTATAAACATCAAACACCAATAAGTGTTCACAGCATGAAAAATGGGACAAAACCCCCCACTTGTTTGCAGTTTTCTTTTTGCTTCAGGAAAAGATTTTCTTTTGTGTCTAGAAGCACAATCTTGTCTGCAAGCCCAGCCACCAACGCATTGTCACAGGTTGTTTGGGGACACAGGACTTGCCCTGTACGTGACTCAGGGTTCATCTGCAGTGCAAGAGGAGGTAGCTGAGGTTTGCGCATCACCCTGACACATACCCTCTGGACATAGTGATTCATATCTCTGCATCTGCTCTATCATCCCTAACTTGGCAGATGAATCTACACAATGTTGCAACATGCATGATACTCTTTTCGTCTCCTTAGAAAGTCCTGGACAAAATAGAAGGTTCTAAATGGTTTATAGGTGAGCAGTGTGAGCTGGTCTGACATCCTTACTCCGTGGAGACACCTGAAAGCCAGTATGCTGAGCTTATGACAATTGTTTCTTGTATCCTCTTCTATTATTAATAAAAGCCCAGGCTCTGCTGATTTGGACATTTAAAACATATTCCTTCCCACCCAGTCTGTTTCAAAAATTATTGAGGAACTGAAATGAGCACTTCAGGTGTAAGATTGATAGCCTAGACATAGCCATGGCAAAATCAGGTTGCCTGCTACTGTGTGCTGTTGTTTCAGCCTCCAAAAGTATTTCCTCTCGTTGCAGGTACATGATAAGATTGGTACTGGTGAACTTTGGAGCTTGATGTAGTCTCATAGGACTACAGCTGGTACAGGTTCCTGCTGAGGCAAAATGGGAAGAGCCATATTTGCAGGACAGGTCAGGTTGAATCTCTGTTTGAATATGGGCTGTTTTCTCCCTATTGATTATATTTTTAGCAAAGGAAGCCATGGTCCTGATTTAGTTGGCCTGGTGAAGTGACCATGGTCCTCCTGTTGCAGTGAGCCCTGTGCTGAAGCAAGCACTGACGTATGCACAGAAAGCACTCAGAGCTGTGTGATATTTAAACAGAAAGAAAAGGAAATAAAGTAGTAACCATTTTAAGATGACAGATTGATTTGCCTACCTAACATGTCGGCATTGAGTGCTGTATAACTGATAAAGTAAGTGATACAGTATTGCCCAATGTAGAATAAAATTGTTCTTGTGAAAAATAATAGCTTATCACCCAGTTGATACAGTGACATGGAAACAGGCCATGGCATGCAGATGAACCCCAGAGCTGGAGCAAGGGGGAGGAGGGAGAAGGAGAAGAAGGGGAAGGAGCAAAGCAGAAAGGAAGTGACAGGACAAGTGGAGGGAAAGAAAAATCTTTTCATCTTTCAACAGTAATGATCCTTTTATTCAGGTTGTTCATATGACGAAACCATCCCTACAAGGATCCTGCCTGAGATATCGTTACTTTCTGTCTAAACTCATGATAAACACTTGTATGAGACTTTTTTCCCCCAGAGAAACAGAGTAGAGAGCAGAATGTTTTTTACTGATCCAGAAAGTTAAACTACAGAGAACATTAAAAAGTGTAGTAGAAAAAAGTTTAAAATCTACACTGAAGGTATCTTACTCTATTTTTTTTTTTTGGGGGGGGGCAGATGTAATAGCTCTTTTCCAGTATATTTTTGTGAATTTGGTTTTTGTCATTCTGAAAATAAAATACATCAGTTTGGACAAAATCAGGGGATTGCAATGCATGGACAAAAGCTTTCCAGATGGAAAAGAACTGATAACCTATCCCTTTTGGTAGCTATATTTCTTGGTCCATGTTATTTTGTTTTCACCAAGGGTGTTTTCCCATAGCTATAATCCTAATATATATGTGTGTGTGCATGTGTATGTGTGGTAAGCGGTAGAAGAAAGAATTATCAGCTACTGTGAACACATTACGGAAGAAAGCAGGTGGTAGTTGTTTACCTGACAGTAGTGCATCCAAAACTGGAAATGCTACACCGGAGAGATTGTTACTGTGAAACTTTCAGTTTGTGCACTAGGAGCAAACGATATATAAGGTTGAGAAAGACCTCACAATATCAGTTTACTGTCTAGTTTTAAATAAAACTTCGCTGTGGGGAAGGAAAAAATGTTCTCAATCACAAGATTGGGGTAGCTGTGCTCTGGAAGTCTGAAAGTCTCTTTCTCCACCCCTTCACCGTGGGACTTGTATTTAGCCTTGCAGGTGATTAATTTCTGAAGTGACTGAAAATCCTGATGTAAATAAGTCAATGAAAACGGAAACACAAGAAGACTATTTATATGAAAGGAGAATGCAGTAAGCCTGGGAAGGAATAGCATCTGTATGACATATAGGCTGATAATAACATTACCTCTGGGATAGTTACACGCACGGGTACTCCTTTACTCCAGTAATTTAACTACTGCCTTGTAGCAATGTAATTACCCTGCTTTCTCTTTGAAGGCTAGTTGTGGTTTCAATTAATTTACATTCTAAAGAAATCTATTTTTTTTTTTAATAATAAAAAAAGGCTTCTCCAGGTCTTAGCAGGTCATCTTAGCAGGAGGTCTTTGCTAGGCCAGTGCTGGCCTGAGAACTGTGGATGAATATGATTCTTCTAAAAAGAGCCAAACAGGCAATTTAAATTCTCTGTCCGATTCACAGAAGTTGAGCAGCTTTCTACAGGCAGCTGTGCAGACAGTCACACAATCATAGTTTGTGGGAGGACAAAACATTCCAAACTGCTAGCCTATATTCAGCCTTCTTTCACGGATGTTTGTTGTGGTTCTGTGTTTGACTGGACACTTGGAAAGTGGTGGTGGGGAACAGCATCCTGCCATCAGCTGGTAGCAAACTGTGATGATTGCTGTAGGTTGGAGACGAGTTCTACCTTCCATTAGCAGGTTGCTGAACACCTAAACATGACTTACTGGTTTTTCCTTTCAAAAATGCCAACAGTTCCAGTAATGAGAACATGAATGACCCAACTCAGTGTGGGTTTGGATGGTGTGCAGCCAAGAAGGCCTGGGTAAGAAATGTGTTTTCTGAATGGATTGGGAAAATACTTTGGATGGGTACCTGTTCAGAGAAACTCTGCATTTTGGAAGCAGAAAGGTCTTTGCAAAAAAAGCAAATGTAAAGTATGTGGAATGTGAATGTCCAAAGTGAAAAATGACTGTATACAAAGGCTGCAAATCTTTTTAACTAACTTGAGCTGTGCAGAAATTGGTGTCTAGTCTAATCTAACACTTCATCATAACACTGTGGATCTCTGTCACCTATCTGGACATGCCCTGTGCTCCCTCCCTGTTGTATAGGAACCATAGGAGATAAAGGCTGAAGAGAAACTTTTACATAGCTCAAGTTAGGTGATATGAATTAGGACTACATCCCAGGAATCAAATTAATGCTGTTATGGATAGCTTGGATTCTGATATTTCCCAAGATTGCTATTGCTTTTTCAAGAGATTACTTGGATGCATGCAGAAAGAGTCCATCGTTTCCCAGATTTCATCAAAATAATTTACACACAGGCTGCGCACAATGCCGAACTCTCTAGAGATCAGAGAAGGGCTAAAAAGCTCAATTTTTTTAATGTAACATTTCCAGGTGAAAAAATAAGGCATGTCCACTGAGACTTGATAACCTCAATGACCCAACAGTTTGAGCTATTCTTATTGCAATCTCTCTGTTCCCTTAACAAAGATTTTTCACACTTGTGAAGGTGTCACAAGCATGATGTGGAATGAACTTGAAGTATATGATTTTGAATAGTGTCTTTCATTGCCTGGAAACCTTTAAAACAGGTCCTCTGTGTCTGCTCATGGCAGTTGTAGTGAAATGAAGACAATTTTACCTAAGTAAAATAAGAAAGTAAAGTCTAAGCAAGAATTCTGTTCCTGAGTCTGAATTCCATTTAGTGCTAACTCCTTGCAGGATCTATTTTCGCTCTGTCAATAACAGTTGTGCTGTTTGCAGTGTATGGCTGAACAAATCTATTTTCAAATGTCTCCTTGACTCCTTCAAAGTCTGTTGCACTTCACTGGTAGTACAGTAAGCTGCTCAGTTGGGAGAAGTATGGAAGGTGGGAACAAACTTGACTTCATTAATTTTGAGGAAAAAAAAAAGAAAAAAGAGGCGTGTGTTCTTTTTATTTATTCATGAATAAGTCAAATTAGGGAATCTAGTTTTGTAACTTTTGGCTCCAGGAACAGTGATAGGAACAATAATAAATATTAGCTCTTATTAGTGGAGAACTCTCTTTTGATTACTTACAACTCCTTATTTGCATACAGTGTTTGTTTAAATTGTACCCACGCCAGAAGTGCCTTTTAAAGCAAGCACATGAGGCCTTTCTCAAGGTCTCAGGGCGTTGCAATATTTAGAATTATATACCACAAATACATGCATTAATTCTTACTTGACATAGTTACAATAAATCAAATTTTTACTCTGAAAATAAACAGATTTTAAGTTGATAATTAAATAACTCATTGAAATTGACAACAACAGTATGCCACGTTTAGAAAAATGGAAAATACTTTTTGCTCAAAAACATTAAAATTTAAGAGACAGGGTTAGTTCCAAGGAATAGCTGCTAAATATGTTGGTTAATGCCAGGCAAGGATGTAGCTAACTTTATTAACCCTGTAAATGCAAATACATATTTGTTCATCTGGATTAATTTCTGTGGACAGTGTAGGTGTGTCATTGATAGTCAATGTGCCCAGGGTTAGTCCCTGACACTGAAGTCAACTGGTATGAAATAGGCTATGTCCATACCATTAAACTTTCTTATCTGCCAAAATGGATCAGCTCACACAGTTTGCTTCTTGGTAGTGCTATGCTAATGCCTTAATTATGGCCTAGGATTATGTGGAGGACTATTTCTTGGCCCCAGCCACAGGTTTAGTTTGTGAGTGTTGACCCAGCCACGTCCTCTCAACTGCATGCTGAGAAAGAGACTGTACATTGCGTGTTCTGCTGTGCCTCTCAGGAAAAAACAAGGACTGTGACTTGTCCTTGCCCTGATTCACTTCAAACATACAGAGTTACTTTTCAGACTCCCTTTTGACACTTGATACCATAATGGTTAAAACTCCCAACCAGCTGCTTGACCCCTACCGTCAGCAATAGAGATCTCGGGGAAAATAGGAATAACAGGAGTGAATAAACTCACGAGTCATGATAAAGCCATTTGGTGTCCCCTCAGCTACTTGTCGCGGTCTTTTGTTCCCTCATCATCCTCTGCCTGTCTGGCATTTTCTCTCCTTTCTTAAGTAAGTTGTTGCAGAGGGGCCAGCAGGTTGGCCAAGGGGCTCAGCTGTGCTCTGTGGTGAGTCTGTTTGAGATGGCTGAAACTGGCCATGCTTGGAAAAGGCCAGGCCCAGGTTTCTCCTCACAGAGGCCACCCCTCTGCCAAAATGTTGCCACGGACACCCAACATGGTGTCCTGGAAGGGCAACATCAGAAAAGCCTCATCTGGAGCATACTGTCCAAACTCTGAATATGTGCTTAACAGTCCACAAAATGAAACTCAGAACATAAACAACAAAAAAGGATTCATTAGTAGGATTAAATTTGTCTTTTCTCTTGGAAATGACTTTTCCTGTCTGCTTTTCCTGTCATGTTAACAATATGCAAATGGTGATTCTCAGTAGGGTACAACTTGGTCAAACATAGACGTTTTTTGGCCAGAAGAAGAGTTTTCCTGTGTCATATTTTTAACCTCTGCTCTAGATAATAAAGGCAACAAGCTTCCTCAGCATTTCTTCCCAAATAAAACACCAGACAATTTTTGCCATGCATGAAGTGACTGTAAAGAAAGGAACCATGAAGCATGTACTCAGTTAATTTATTTTTTTTTTTACTTATAAGTTTTGCCATACTTATGTATAGCAAAATTTGAACTAGGAGGAAATAGTGCCCAATACAAGGTTTTGAGCAAATTTTACGTAACCATTGACCTCAAAACTACCAACAGCTATTTACAAATACCTTTATAGGACAAGAGAGGTCCTTGGATCATTTGAGATGGCTTCCCATGTGCCACAGACTGTTAAGGATACTCTCTACTGAAGTGATAATAGTTCCTCCCAATAAGTTTTGTTTTCTACTAAAAGGCATGTTTGAGAAAGCAGACTTAATTTGGAAGCCTAAATGATGAAGAGTAAAACTTTTCATTTTGTAGTTTGTTTCAGTGGTTAATCACTTGCTTTTTAAACATAGTTCTATGGTTGATCTATTTCTCTGCCACACTTGTCCCTCCCTTCATCCCTCATTTTTTCCCTCTCCTTTCCCTTTCTCTTTCCCTTCCTTTTCTATCTCTCACCACTGATTCTTGATAGGTTTTTCACTGCTGGAATTAAAACCTGTGTTACACTCAGTAGTTTCTTCTTTTGAAATGCTTACCTAATCACTCTTTGATCATCATTTTGATAAGCTAAAAGAGACCAAGCTTGTTATTTGTGTCACTCCAGGTCTCAAATAACTTCATTGCTTTATCTTTTCTAGTTTGTCAACATTCTTTTTAAAAATGGGCCTAAACCACACAGAGTATTTCAGTTTTCACTCACCATACCTATAGCACTTAATCAGTTAATGTATTAAGCTGGATTTTGTCGTTACAGTTTTGGTCTATCATAGTCTCAGTCATTTCTTGTATCTGGTCCCCTATTCTGTAAGTCTAGCCTTCCTTCATCTTTCTAAAAAGGAAATAATTTCTAAATATCCTTTGGCTCTACAAATTTCTTTGAATGGGCTCAGAGGGTTTTATCTGTTGTGTTCTTCATTACTGTTTACTGCTTTTTCAGTCTTTTTTTTCTTGAATTGCGATTTCCTCCTTCATCATTTTCAAAAACAAAGGCATGATTAGTGAAACTTTCTTACTGATGATCCTCTATTGGCAGGGATGTTTTCCAGAATTTGCTTTCTACCTGATTGCATTTATGTTATATAGTACCAATTTTTAGATCAGTGTAATGTTGTATTAATTTAACAGATCTATAAAAGACAAAGATAATTGTGGGGCTATGACACAATCAAAATTGTAACATAATTTTAGAAGCAATTCAGGTATTTGACAGGAACTATTTCCCTAAAACCATGTTGACAAGAGTTTATTACAATCCTGTCCTTTAAATCTTTTTAAAGTTGAACAAATGAAAAATGATATTTACTGATTTCAGAAGGAAGGTAAGAGAGAGAAGTTCACAGAAGGAGGTAAGTGGATGCTCATGGTACAGGAATGAGGGTAAATTGCAATATTTGTTTAACAAGCTGTATTCTGGTTCTTTTTTCTAGCTGCAAGAAGGTTTTAAAGAAGGTGAAAGCATAGTGATGAGAAGTTTTTATTTCAAGTCTCTGAAATAAAAAAACAGAGTCAAGGCTGTATCTAAAATTGTTCATACAAGTAAAGAAAGGGTTAAAGAGAAAAAATGAGATTAACAAACCCCCAGATTCTCATTACTATCCCCCAAAGGCTGTGTTTGATAAATAAGACAAATGTGAAATTGGGAATTAATGAACAAAATTTTATGTGCTGCATGCTGAGTCTAATAATGAAAGCATGGGAGGCTGGGCCTATCTGCATTTGTGGGGCTGTAAATATCAATGACAGGAGAGCAGATGGACTGAAAGGAGTAAGCTTTACTGTGGTGGCTGCCACATTCCTACCTTTAGGGTTGTGGAACCCACGGTGACAACCCTGTGCCTTCAGAATCCCAGAGATGTCACCTGGTCAGGCAGCAAAAACCTGGCTGAATCACATCCACTGTGTCTTTCCTGAATATCCCCTTTTTTCAATTTCCTTGTTTTCTTTCTTCACTTTTCTTATCTGGTTGTTTATGGCTTTAATGGAAGCCTGTTTCAGCTGACTAAACTTGAATCCTTTCCAATGTTATTCTAAGTCTGTGGCTAAAAAGGCAACCAAAAGAAGAACCTTAAACAACCTGATACATCTATGACTGATAAGGCTGTGCATGCATCTGTCATTCTTCAGCAGAGAATTGCACCAGAAACAGAGGCTGCATTTGTTATCTCTTACTTTTTTGTGACTCTCTCTAGTTTGTGTTCAGGAAAGCCAGATCAGACTCCAAGAGAAAACAAAGCAAGGTGCCACCCACGTCATCTCTTAAGTTTTTCTCCCCTTGCCACTTCCTCTTGTCTTTCGCCTTCTCAATTCTCTCCTTCATCTTCTGACAATGGCTCTTGTATCATCATCTCTTGTGTTGCCAAACAGAGAAAGAGTTGGTCCTTTGTATAATTTTTCTGAAGTTAAAAAAGAGGCTCAAAAGGTTAATTTTCAAATTAAAGACTTTGTTGATGCTTTTAAATGCTCAGATGGGTAGTTGGGTTTTTATTTTCTTCTCTCTCTCTCTTTTTTTTTTTTTTTAATCCTTGGTTTAAAAGTTTTAATCCTGCCATAGGAAAAAGTCCTCATGAAAACTCTGCACTTCAAACTTAATCCACTTGCTTATCTCTATACAGAGACAGGTACATTCAGTACATTTGTACTCTGGACCAGTTAATACTAAGAAAATGAACATGGCTTATTTTTATTGAGAGCTCTCTAGCATGTTACCTGGGAGATTGAGTTACTTTTTCATAAACCACAGAATCATAGAATGGTTTGAGTTGGAAGGGACCTTTGAAGATCATCTAGTCCAACATCCCTTCCCTGGGCAGTGACATCTTTCCCTAGATCAGATTGATCAGGGCCCAACCCAACCTGGCCTTGAACAGTTGTAGTAATTGGGCACCTGCAACCTCTCTAGGCAGCCTGTTCCAGTGTACACACTGTTCTACATTTACTGTAAAAAATCAGTTTAGCTGAGAAGTGTATTAAGTTCTCTTCTCCTTCCCAACAGACCTGTGTCATGTAGGACTTTTTGGCCTTTAAAATATCCCAGTTACCCCTTCAGCTAACTACCGTAGAGTGCAGCTATCTCAGGGCCAGATCATCCTTTCCCTCTCACACACACTAAGCTGGAGAATGTGGCAGGAGAAATAGGCATCTGCACAAAACAAAGTAAAAAATCATGGAAATGTGAGGAAGTTCCTTTCTGAGTGGGATTTTTCTGATGGTTCTGTAAGATCAAAGTCGAGGAAAAAGTGCCAGTCTAAAGACTTCACATTCCTCCTCCGATCAATCAGCAGCTTAAAATGATGCGCTAGGAAGGCCTTTCCTTTTCCATTCCAGTCTGATTGCATCCCTCTCTAAAACCTGGCAGCAGACACTGCCACTGTAAGAATCACCTACTGGAATCAATAAGGATCACACAGCTCCCTCATGGGTATCGTTATGATTCACTGCTGTCATTACAAGAAATACAGCAAAAAACCTGATTCTCAATCCAGCCTTCTTGTACTGCCAGGCAATTTTCTTTCTCTTTGACTATTCTCTAATGTAAAGCGTTCAAACCACAATTGCCTGCCAGCCTCAAAGGTACCAGGGTCTGGAGGCAAAAAATGAAATTGCTTCTGGGCATGTCCACCTTGTACAATGGTACACATGGCTTAGGCTGCACTTTATTTCACAGTCTATAGCCATAGCAAGCCCAGCACTGAAAGGAAAATAAGTAGCTCAGAGAGAATAAGTAGTGCTGAGAAGTTGGACAGGGTGGGTTGGGCGCGGTGCCATGCTGTATGCAGGTTCAAACTAATGCCCCCTAATAATTCGCCTCTGTAGAGACATCTGGCTGGACTCACATGAGTAACCTGCCTTCAGATCATACAAGTGCTCATCCTAGGGGCCCTTTGTAACAATTCAGAGTAGTAGATAACTGAAGAACTATTTTATCAGAGTTGCAGCATAACTCTGCAACTCAAAAAGAGTCAGCATAACTTTAAACAATATCAGGTTATTGAAGAAGATCCAGCATCTATCATGTCTTCAATTCAAATTTCTGTTAGAGAAATATAGAAGCAAAGTGTCTCAGTGGATCTTGTTGCTGTCTATGTCTAAAACCTCCTGAGCTTCTAAAGCCCTGAAGGAACCCGAATCCCACAGCAGCATCGTTTCACATGTATATCCTCCAAGAGGGCTGCACTTCACAGGGTTCCCTGGGGGTGTCATTCTGGATCCTCCTAACCTGTTTCTCCTGGCTTGCCATGAGGCTGAAGCTTGCCCATGCTGGAGACTAACTTTGGTGGTTAGGAGGTTCTCATGAATTCTCTGCACTTGCTGATTCTCAATCCAGCCTTCTTGTACTGCCAGGCAATTTTCTTTCTCCTTGACTATTCTCTAATGTAAAGCGTTCAAACCACAATTGCCTGCCAGCCTCAAAGGTACCAGGGGTACCTATACTGGTGGGGCAAGACGACTAATTTTCACTGACTTCGGTATACAGAGCATATAACAAAAGTGAAGCATTTCACTTTATGTATTCTTTATTATTTCATAGAATCATAGAATGACTTGGAGTGGAAAAGACCTTAAAGATCATCTAGTTCCAACCCCTCTGCCACAGACGGGGACACCTTTCACTAGATTAGGTTGCTCAGAGCTTCATCCAACCTAGCCTTGAACAGTTCCATGTATGGAGCATCCACCACTTTGGGCAGCCTGTTCCAGTGCCTCACCACCCTTGCCCTTACAATAAATATTATTTTCCTAAAATCCAATCTATATCTACTCTTGGTTTGAAGCCATTACCCCTTGTCCTGTCACTACATGCTTTTGTATTTTCATTATAGTCTTCATCTTATTTCTTTATTTGTTATATTCCTTTTTTTCTTTCATCCACTTGCAGCTCCGTTTGGGCTTTCAAGGTGGGCATTTAGCTCTTTAAAGGACGTTAGAAATCCTCTGGTGCCAAATAACCCTGCATCTACTCTGCACAGGGTGTGAAAATAGGCAGTATATGGAATATGACTCTGAAGTTTGGATTCGTGGTAAAGCTCATCCTTTAAGTTTAATTGGTGCTCTAGGGGAACATGAAGGCCGGAGTCAACTCCGAGGATTGAAGTAACCAGTTTTTGGAGTTGATCTCCCTGACAGTGTGTGAAACCACTATTGTGATTTCAGTCTCATTAAGCATTAAATATAGAGCATGCCAGAAGTGATTTTGCAGTAAATAAAAATGTTCATTCATTTGAATAATCAGACTGTAGTCTCATTACAGCTGTATTGCATGAAGCATTATTTGTAGAGAAGACTTAATCATCCACTTCAATCAAATTTATAGGGAAAACCAGCTTTAGTGAGTGAGTTAATTTCAAAGAATAACATGTTTGGTCTTGGATTATTCTTTCACAGCTGAAAAGAAAATCAAAGTGTTTTGAAAATTATTATGAAAGAACAGAAAATTATAAACAACATAGAGTGAATGACTTGTAACTGCCCCATTGCAAAAGAGAGAAAAACAGAGAGTTTGCAAAACATAGCCTGCCTCCAGTAAGAGAAACTGATGCACACACAGATACAGCCCTCTGCCCCTCCTACTCCCTAGGAATCAGATACAGAAAACTTTGGGGAACAAAACCTCAGACTTTCAGACCTTCCAGATGGAGCATTTTACCCTTTTACACAGAGACCCTTTTACCCCAGAGACAGTGTTGACATTGCTAATGGGAGATAGCAAATATCCTTTTAACTCTCTCTGTGGTCTTCTCTGCTGCTATAAACAATATACCTAACAATAGAGGAAATTAAGTCTTTGATGCTATTACTGACTGGGGGGACAAATTTTTGGCCACTGATGTAGCATGTTAGTAATAGGTCTTTCTACATTAATATGTGTAGATTTATAGACTTAAAAAGAAATATTTTTATTTTTTAAAGAGGGTAGGCCAGGGAGTGCCATCCAAACAAAATGACATATGTTCTTCTAGCTACAGGCTTACCTGGGAGTGTGTTTGCCCATGCCTGTTGCCTGTTGTCTTTCTGCCATGCTGCACTATGAAAGGCCTGGCTCTGTGCTTCTGATGACCTCGTCTTAGGTAGTGGGGACTGCATGAAGCCAGGCTGGGCAAGCCCATCTTCTTCAAACTCCCATCCCAAGGGAATTGTTCCAGCTGTCATGGTGGCACTACACTGAACATGTTCCAGTTGATAGATATCTTTCATGTACTGACTGGGGCAGACAGACCAGGCATGGTGCTCTAGATAAGGTCCAATGATGTCTAAGCAGAGAGGGGTAATCCTTTCCTGAAGTCCTTTACAATCTGAATTGTCACATGATCTTATGAAATGGGTGTGGCTAGTAGGTCCAACAGGCATAAGGTAATAAGTGTGCAGGAGGTAAATAGACTTTGTGTGAGAGTGGGTGGGCTGCTTATGGTGACTGGGTGGATGAAGATGAAAAGATGTAGGTTGTTAAAGGAGAGAAACTGTTGAGGCAAAAAGGAAGAAGTAAAAAACTCACCTCCGGAAGTTCAGTAAAAAGGTCCAAGGTTTTGCTAGAAATCATGGTAATCTACAAATGGAGCTGATGAAGTGATTAATCTTGGAAGAAAATTCCTGACAAAGAGCCTGGTGATTTTAGGGTATAAGATAGTGCAGGAACTTGTGCTCACTTGAGGTCTCTTTTCTATCATTATTTCTTAATTGCTCATTGAAACACTGAGTGGAAGAAATGGATGCAAGAATGCCAGTAGGATGGATGCAAGTAGGCTTCTTGGTTTCGGGGTATTCTTTAGTGTGGCAGTACACGGCAAAAGCCCTCCCTCTTCTGGCTGAGAAGGGAACATGAGATTGCAAAGGGGAGGGCAACAAGTGAAACCATTATGCGCTGAGCTGGAGATCAAGCTTGTTGTGTCAGACTGCATCCTAAG